TGATTTTTCTGCACGTAGTGCAGAACGATGCGCCATTAGTACGCGCGAATGCATTAGTGTATCGTGCATGTGTTGAAGTCACCGTGCACTCAATCATTTGCCAAACAAAAAATAGAATGTTTTTTTTTTTTAATTGCAACCATTTTCGTTGTCTATTTTTAGTTCTTTAATTTTCCGATATATCTGATAATTTATCATCTGATGCTACTAATGAACCGAGATTTCTATATGGGTGTCATTTCTCGGCAATATTTAGAATTGTGTGAAAATTTGATCGTATTATTATCTTGGAAAATGCATAAATCAATTCTATATTCAGCTGTAAATCGGTCGCAAATAACGTCATAAAAAATGCGCGATTTTATAACCGGCATAGAATGAGATGACGGTGGGTGCAATTCAAACGTTTCTCTGAAGGGCGAAACAAAAGCCTGGCGGTATCTTTGGTTCCTGCCGTTCTATATAATTTCGCTCTTACGGACTTTATTGTTGATTTTCCGAGGACTTGCTCATCCGCGCCACCGAGTCTTTTGAGCTTTTCCAAATGATTCACGGATAATTCCCTGATGCGCTTCTTTTCACTCGCTTCATTTCCTCGTCTATATCTTGCTCCTTTTTTTGCATCTTCCATCTCCGCCCCCGTCTCGAAGAAAATGGTTGTCTTCAAGAAAGCTCTTTAGAGTTCAAATATCAATGGTCGGATTACCTTTAGGTTCAGTAGACGGATCGATAGTTTGTTGTATTGACGGTTTATTTGCTTACTGTAATATTCTCTAAGGCCGACTTTATAATTCTCAGAACGGAATCCAAGATAAAAATCTATTTATAATTTCATATAATATCATACAAAGAAATCTGGATATATGCAAAATGCATATCACTAATATATATTTTGGTGCATGCTTGGTGGAAAATAGAAAAAGGTATTTCAATTTAAATGCTTTTTATACATTACATTTTTTATAAATTATTATATCATAATACATAACATTGTGAACAGAATTTTATTTCAAATTCTGCTACAAGTAATGTGGATCGTTTAAAGCGAGCTTAACTTACACAGCTTTGTTTCACCTATGTTTTATTCCATCTATAATATTACCGCAAATTGTTATAGAATTATAAAACAGCAGGAATGTCTTTTTTATATTCAGAGCAAGCTAATTTTATCAAATGTTATTTTAATGCCCGTCCATTCAACCAATATCGATTAAATTAAAATAAAAATTGGGACACGCTATGCTGACCATTGTAGATTGACATCTAGCGCTTATTAAGCTAAATCAGACATGCAAAGAGGCGTGAGTATAATTCGACGAGGTAATAAGTCTCACAATTAGGCCACTCCGGATCGCGGCTTAATTACATTTATCCTGCCGAAAGCCGGTCATACGGGAGCGCAGCGGATAATGGAAACCCCCGCTGCGCACCCGGCGCCGGCTACGAAACCAGGAAGCTTCGGCACTTAATGAGATTAAATTTGCTCCCGTGCCTCGCAAAAGGAAACGGAAGCAGGAAGCCGGCTGTAAAAATAAAAACCAGCCCGCAAATCGCAGGCTGTATTGAATGTGTGTGTGCGTCAAGTGATACGGGTCAAGCGATAGATTTTTTAAAGCACTAAAGCATTTGATATGGCTATATTGGACGATTTTTAAAGTCAGAATAATATAAAAGTTATAAAGATTTTCAAGAGTCTTTTTATACGTTTTTTTTTTCTAGAATTTTCTCAAAATTTTATTTCTGCGACTGCATTAATTTTTCTACATAAAACCAGAAATTTCAAGAATAAAGCTATGAGTTAGATATTGCTGTACATAAAAACTTTCCGATTCGTTGTCGTTCCAAAATACGCTTTCCGACATAAACTTTAAACGCGGGTGGAATAAACCGCGATAAAAGTGACGATACAAATCGACCGCGAGAAGAGATAGCCATACTTATCATCGACCGATCGCGTTCGATTTGACGGGGTGCAAATATAGAGCGGGGTCTGGCAATAAAATAAAGAACGACGTAGAGGGGAAGAGAAGAGAGTGGCCGGTCAGCAAGTTATTTCTTTACTTTCTCGACAAGGGGTGGATTAAAAAGGAAACGCGCATCGATAATACGCAAACAAACGTATCGTATTTTGATAGCACAAATAAGTTTACAATTGTTTAAAAAAATAATTTAAGATTCGTCGATAGAAAACAGAAAATTGTGAGAATAATTTCGGGAAAACAAAGAACTCTCGATAAGTTTTTCTTTCAATAAAGGAGCATGATTGAATTTTTATTTAGTTATTGAAATTGATGTTTTTTACCGTGAGAAAACCTTATGGAGTGAATTGTTCATGGATAAATTGCTGTTTTGTTTTTCTTTCTTTCTTTTCTCTCCCTCTTCTCGTTGCTCCGTTCGCGCATTGTACTTGGCGTTGGAATTTTGATCAATAATAAAGTTCCAAGTAAGCTGGAATGCGTGATGTTTTGATTCTGTGACTAAGAAATTCCAATCCCCGCGGAAGTGGGGGAAGTAATATAAATAAGGAACATAAGTAGCTCCGGAGTTAGTATGTGTGTTGGTTGTCGAACGGACGGAGTGGTAGCTTTATCTCGCGTCATACACGCTATTAATTCTTTACTGTTTTACAGTGTTAATTTGAATTTTATCTTTTGCTTATTTCCTCCGAAATAAATATGTTTACAGACAAGGATCCATACCCGATAATAGACGCATTGCCGACGTGCAATCATGCACACAGTGTTTGTGCGCGCGAAAAGTCTTGCAGTCAGATCTTCAAGAACTTCAAGACCAACTGCAAGATTGAAGAGGGCCAGTGCAGAATGGAGAATCGGTGAGTGAATCAACAATTTTATTTGCTCTTTATTCTGCTTTTTGTTTATTAATCCATCATGGTGCTGTATAATTGCTGGACCGTGATATTATGAAAATAAAGTAAACCCCGGATGCATTTGAGTAAATATGATCGAAAAATTAAATTCTGTATTACTATAATCAAATGGCATGAGTGTTTATTTTGAAATGGAGAGATGTATGGGGAGGAAGATTTATTATTGAGAATCAGTGAGCAAAACATGAATTTATTTATTTTCTTTTGCTCATCTTCCGCATATTAATCTACGATGTAACAGCATTGTTACTCCATGATATTACATGTTTATTTAATATAAAATGTTATACATTTAAACAAATATAAATGGAATAGTTTATTTTATACTCTGTAACAAAGTGGCATGATAAATTGTCATTTTTCGAGAGAGAAAAAGATTAAAATAGGATTTTATGATTATACGATAAATTTATTTCGTTATAAATATAGAATATGAAATCATATGAAATCATATTGTATTGAAAACTAACTTTGTTGGAACGGAAAAAAATAGCATTATTTATGAAAAGAATTTTGCGACAATTTTGGCATACAAGAAATTTTCGTTGACTATTGAAGAATTTTCCACGATAGTGCAGCGCAATTTTCACTTTGGTGCAAAGTTGTCCCTGTCGGGGATACAGTTTAATCCCCTTCTATCGTAGATTTCTGGTCTAAAATCCGTGCAATGAAATTAGTAACGCTTCAGTTAGTTAAAGTAGCTTGCCGCGAAAATTAGTCGCATCAGCAACGATAAATAATTCGAACGGCATTTTGGGAGCGCTAGCGAAGACAAACGGCGCGCCGATGGGCGCGCGGTTAATTAATTGTTTGCATGTAATTAACTCATAGGAACAAAGTGGGAGACTTGTCGCGCGGAAATCGACGGTAAATTACGTTTCCTGGTTGTGTAGTTTTAAAAGTTTGCGCACATTGTGCGCTGCGCTATCTCGTTTTATCTCGCCGCGGAATTTCCGCGGCCACTTTGTCCCGGTCCCATTAAACCCCGAGATACGAGAGCTTCTCTAGTCTAGGATCGTAACTTCGTCGAGTTAATGCCGAGGCCGGAGCTTTGCAAACTTTCGAGATCGACTGCGATGTATCTAAGAACGAGGCCAAAATTACAACCTGTCGAAACACGGACTTATCAAATTGTCACTTTTCCAAACAATGAGAGAATCTTAAAGAACAATTCTTTTATTAAAAAATCAAAACATTGGATAACTTTAATATTTTCACGAGATTTTTTTATTGCAAATTGATATAAGAACAAAGGTATTTCTTAAAGAAAAAATTTGGTGCGTAACAATATTAATTAAGAAGTTTAATGATTAAAGCGTTTTGGCAAATTAAATTTCAAGAATATAGATAAAGAATAGAACCTCGAATTCTTAATTCTTTTCAAATTAACTTTACTTTGTCACATCTGATTTTATGATAGTAAATTTGGTAAATGTGCTGCTTTAAAACTTGCGGCCAGTACTTTAGAAGCACGAAGGATGCGAGCAATATATCACTCCGTTTTCCTGAATGACAGTCGCCTCTCCGTTTTCGCAGTAAAGTCATTAACGGCGCGCGCGCGTATACGCACTTTTAATTATGTGAGTTCTCCGACTGTTATTCGAAAGTTTACGACTGATCCTTCGTAACGCGAAATAACCTCATCTTCCTTTTATTGTTCTTATATTTCTTTGTGCAGAATGTCGCTTAGTTATCGTCATTCATTTCTTCTTAAACTGACTCTAACTTCAGATTTCGAGTATTAATTACTTATTTAAGAATATTCGAAAACAAATATTAAATATTTTTTATCAAACAATTAATAAAAAGTTTGTGTAAATGTGACTGCAAAAGATTTTTGTTTGTAAGCTTTTTACTATTCTCAAAAATTTTAATAGAAACATACACAAAATTGCGTACGCTAAAATTGTTTACTTTTTATTTTTCTTATTAGAAAATTAATTTATTAACATAATATAACATACACATTTTTTCTGTGATATATTTATCAGATAAATACGTATAAGCCGTTACAAAACAATAAATGTTACCTTTGCTAATTCCACGTATTCCAACTAATTAAAAGTTAAATCACATATCGGTCTTTGATTCTCTAAAGTCGTCGCGTTCTCGTTTTCGCGAAACGTCAATAAACTAATTTCCGTTAAAGCAGCGCGCGCAAATTAGTTTATTAACCGTGCAAAGAGGCGACACGACCGACGTCGCCGGCGCTAAAATCACTGGATCGAAAGTATCGTGGGAAAACGTCGGACTATATTCGCGGAAGTAGGTAGTCGACGGGCGCACGTTGCATGCAACGTTGTATAATTTTCTTCGTAGAAACGTATTAGCTTGCTACACTGCCCCCAACATTTTTATCACTTTGCGATCCTCGAAGTGAAGAAAGGAACAGCATATATGGGTCAGTTCAATCAATTCAGTTTCACGGAAACAATGCGAAAAAATGATAAAGTTTTTATGTAGAGTGACGTAAACTTATGCAAATATAGTTGTCGTGAAATGGTACGTCAAATCTACTTAAAATTAATTCAGAGATAAACTTTCGTCAACGTTATCGTATCTTAATTCAAAATCGAAGCTTCTCAACATGCAGTTATCCTGCAAACTATTTTTTCCAGTTTTAACTTGATTCGTCATGAAAGAAAGCGCGCGTCCTTTCAGAAATTTTACAGCACATTTTGAGTCTCATAACATGTAGCATATTTGCAAATAATTAAACCTGCGCATCATTAATTCAGATAGAGTTGCATTATACTGCTCATATTCTTTGCCTCAATGCTTGTTTCTTTTCTTGCTGCAAAATGAAGTCGACCTCTAGGAAGCGTAGCCTGTGGTTTTTACGGCGAGCATTAATTAAATTAACGGGATCATTTATTGTGGCCTCTTGGCTTGGCCGAGGATTTGTATCTCCGTAAATCCGCGTAAACTGCCCGAAGAACGACTTTGTGGCATGTTTCGCGTCTTTATGAAATGATTAGATGGTTACCAGAAATATGCATCTCAGACTTTACGCCTTTAATATTTAATTATAATTTTAGTGCAACGTATAAAATGTGTTTACTGGACTAGTTGCTGATTCGTAATAAAGAAAAACAACAAGAATTGGAGAGAAATTAGAAAAAGATACAGAGATTAGAGTATACGGGAGTAATATTTAATGAACGTCGACGGTAGTTGAGTAGCGAGTGGTTGAGTGCCATGAAATAATAACATACTTTCGTAAGTCGCGTCACGGAGGTGGTTCTGCAAATTCCGAAGAAATCCGTAAAGTTCCTAGGGCCTCTCTCTTTCTCTCGCCGCGATAGTGTTCTCCTTATCCGTAATAACATTGAAATTCAATCCGTCGTACCTCCCGATAAAAGTAAACCTCGCCGATGAAGTTCTTCGATCATCGGTCTTTATCCGTGTTCCCATTTTCCTTTAATCTGCGACCTCGAGATTGAGTAAGACGGTGAATCCGCCGATCGATACCGTTCGTTACCGTTCTTCTGTATTTTTTAAGCAGATCCATCGGTTATTCAACTTTACTATGTGGGTTTTAGTAATTAGACCGAGAATAGAATTAATGTTATTTAGTTTTCTTGATGCTTAACTCGGTTTCCTTAACGCAGGGAAGAATTTAGTAACTCGTGTTAAAGGGATCCTGGCAGACTGCAGCGTGGAAATGCCACTATTTAGGTGAAAATGAAAATGAGAGATTAATATTGCCGATGCATCAATTGCCAAGCATGACAGATTATCTATATGCAATCTACCAGCATGACAAATTATCTATATATAATCTATGCACAACATCTAGATTATATTCTTGATATTATTATTCCATTGAAATATAATGTCTTTAAAATCATTACAGATAAAATAAAGAATAAAAAATGCGTAGCATTAATTTCTCTTGGGTATACATATAGTGTAAGAAACAAAAAACCAAACAGTTTTTAAAGAAACAATAGTATATACGTAACAAAAGTATATATGTATATACTTTATATAGTATATACATATATACTTTATATATTTATATATATATATATAATTGACTTCTAAATGTGCATGAACTTGTTCAACTACTTTTCTCACTAAATCAGATGATTATTAATTGTTATATATTAATTTATGCAATATAAAGAATATAAAGAAAGGAAAGAAGAAAACTTTAAGCTTTGAACTGCTTTTTGAATTTTTTGTCGGTGATTTTTTGCCGAATTTCAGTGGTTTGAAAATTTTTCAATTTTGCCTGAAGTGTTCTCTATTTTTTGTGGAGTAGTGTATGTACATTGTTCTGAATATACCGATTTGAAGTATACTTTTATTTTTCAAAATCGAGAAATTTTAAGCGTAGTGCTGAATATACTTGGGTAATATTTTTTTTATTTTATATATTTTATGTAATTTGCAGTTCTATTACGGTAACGACTAATATATTTCGTAAAAAGTAATAGCTCAGGTGTTTCTTATTATAACAATGCATTCTAAATATTTTTTACTTACATTTTGTCTGATTGTGAATGTAAAGATCCAAAAATGTCTGTTTTATTATCAGATATTTGACTCATATGTGACATTTTTAGAATGTATCTCTCAGATAATAAAAAATTTGGCGCGTTGGTAAAATCAATAATAAGCATATTTAGTTCAATGATGAATGAGAACGTTGGAATATAAATTTTTGTATTATTAATGTCAATCAAAACAATTTTGAGTATAGCAAAAGTCACTGGATGCATAGTTATATTTTCCGTTGGACGCATAATATCGATAATAATATTGTATTCGCCAAAAATGTCATTTTCGTCCAAGTTTAATTTTACTTTGATATCAAAATATAACGATATTACATAACTCGATAAATTATTATTAACTGCAGTATCATTTTCGGTATTAATAAGTAAAAAGAGCTATTGTAGTAATTAATATTTCGCTATTTCTTAAAAGCCTTCGAA